TAGTACCAGAGCACCGACCACAGTGGTTACTGCTTCAGCGAGAAACATGCACGATAAAAAAGACGAAACGCTTCCAAAAATTACTGCGTTAGATTCGTCAAAATGCTTCAAAACATATTAAAACATCAAGCATTTTATGTCATTTAAAAGGGCGTGTGAACCACATTTGAATAACGGGTCAAGGTTGCAGTTAAAATAATTGTATGGCTGGGAGAGATGAGCGTAGTCCTTGATGTTGCCTTTGGGTCAAAATCACGCTTTGGCCCGTCGAATTTCACATTCATATTTGCGTTGACTACAAAAACTGACGTCGCAAAAACACCGGTGGTAGAAAAAGAGTACAGCTAAAGGCTTTCGCAGTTCAATTTACTGTTATTATGAGACCTATCCACCTCACCCACCCATTTATGGACGCATTTAGCGTGGGTTTTTCGGCAGTCATGCAAGTAACACCTCTGCTAATAAAATTCAGCTGTTTGACTGAAAGTTAGCTAAATTTATACATTTTTTAAGTTGGGCTCAAGTAAATGCCGTTAAAATTCTAAAAGACGTTATTGCTATTTGCTTACTACTTATTTATTATTCCCAAATGCAATTGGTGCAATGAACTAATTTTGTAATTTCCTGATTGCAGACTGAACCACATTTATTCGACATTTTTAGCCACCAATTTTTGCCACTCAAACAAGCACAAAATGAACAAATTGGACCTATATGAGGAGTTATTCAATTTATTTGTGATCATTGTGATGATTACCCCTTTGTTTCATTTCCTGATATCGGCGCATTTCCCTTCGGACGAGTTCCTTTGTTTTGTAGAAGACACACATTGTTAGCTGCGTCAGTTGTTAACAGCGGCATCATTTTGTGCTGCAGATGGCACACAAGTTTACTTCAGTAAGGAAATATTTGTTTTGTTCTAAATTAACCAGCCTATCCAATTAAATGGCTTACAATCTAGTTTCCAGTGACGCTTTGATATAGCGACGAGTGCGAGAATGGAGTAAGTTAAACAGCTTGAGTGTTTTTGCTCGTTGCATGGTTCTCTACTGAAAAGCCGACAGACACCATAATTCAGAAGAAAGAAGCTGATAAACAACTTTCTATTTTACTAAAGTGACTGGTTTTTTGACCATATATGGGCGTACTTCTGTCAAAATAAGTGTTGCACTACCTGCAATTTGGAGTAGGTCAATGTGTTTGAGAGATGCTTTCTTCAGCCCACGCTTTCTGTCGGTCCATACCCACTTATTGCGTATAAGGCGCCTCAATAAATATCATCAAAGGAAATAATAAATCTCAACCCATGAATACTTAGAATTTTGAAAGGGATGATAAGGACCGCATTTGTTACACTAATCTTGTTCATGCCTGCAAAGTAAAAATCAACTGGCAGTGAGGTTGAGTTCGAGGTGGGGCGGTGCTGCACATCATTCCCTTTAACTCTTCGAACATTTCGGTATGTTTTCCCAACTAAAATTCAATTCCGCCTACTCCCCAGTCACTTTACGCATCGGGCCTGTAGTCAAGGCAAGTCCTTTAGCAAAATGACCACAGTAACCAGCCGAGTCTTGTTAACCTATGAATTATGTCTGATCCGTTGGCGTTGTCCATATCCGTCTGACGGGACAATATGGCCCAGTCATTTGTCCAGGCCCTGCAGAAATCAGTATTGCTTGGGGTTTGGGATCAATCTTGGTTCTCACGTTAAAGTTATCCCCTCAAATGTCATCTAGATATGTTGCCCAATGTTTGAGACTAAGCCAAACAATGCGGTTCACATCAGGCGTTAGTAGGTAGCAACTGAGTTACATAATTTAAAGGGCATTGTGTAAAAATTCATAGAGCTTGTTTTCCAATATTAGAGCTAATTTCTCCCTGGCCGTTTCTGTCACTTCCACTTGCCGGTATCCTAATTTTATATTTAGGCCTAAGGAATCAATTTGATCCACATGGGGAGTCTTGCGAATCGTTAATGTAGGGCGATGGGAAGGCGTCCTTCTTCATTCCCGTGTTCAGATTCCTACAGTCTGCGCATAGCTACCGACTTTCGTTGTTCCTCTTTACCAGAGCAAGTGGAGAGACCTATGATGACTTAGATGGCTTAACCGGACTGTTTACTTCCCTCAGCGGAAAGGCATGCGGCTGTTATAAAACCTAAGTTTTCCTCTACATATTGGCAAGCCACGTCAGTTGAAGGATGTATATAATTTGTATTAGTTTAGTATTTATTTCCTTCGCCATAGCCTTCATTCCTGTATAATGGGTAGACTGACTCAATGTAGGCCTTCTTTATTGGCGGTACTATAAGCGGGTTTGGAGCACACTTCCTTCTCTAAATCAACACAAACACAGCCAGACTTACGTCATTTGAGAGGGAGGCCTGGCACAACTGTACTGGCCGATGGTGCCACCTGGAGAATATCGCAATTTCCGTCATCCATGGAGCAACGACGCACTCCGAGTGATGTAATTCGCTTTACCAACAAACTGCTATGTTTGCAAGGCAAAATTTATACGCATTTAGTCACTTTTCATGACAGCAGGATGCTTCCATGCAAAGCTACATCGCCTAATGGATGCAAAGATGAATTTTTCGTGCTAACAAAAGCGGAAAGACCACCGCTGATTAAATACGCGGAGGCCGAACATGAAGACGAGGCGGCGGTGAAAAAGGTGCTTGTTTGAATGCAGTGTTCAGTGTTCAAAAAGCTCGAGATGAACCGATCTTCGTCGATCCCCGGTATAAGAAATGTTTACTCTGAATGTGCATTACTCAGACCTCCTTTCCTAAATCTATTTACGACGAATACGACGTTTCCCTCCTTGGTCGTTCTACACGTTGTTAGGACACGAAAGCCAAGGGGAAGAGATAAATGCAGAATCTTTTACTCTAGACGCTATCTCACATATAACAGACACAGGCTACTGAAAGAGAGTCACATTTCAACATTTATGTCAGCTACCTTCATTCATTCATTTATGTGTTAACCTCTCCATGTTTATGCGGTAAGTTTGCCTAACTTGAAAAATTCACACGGAAAAATTAGCGTGGCCCCAAAGGGGAGGACTCATATTAGCGCCGGATCATTTTCAGATTTTCATCAATTCTTGCCGGAATCATCACAAATCACCATCGACGAGGTTTCATTTTATTGACATGCATTTTTGTTGTTGGTTAGATGGCAGATTTCTCACAATCGTACTGGCAATTTGATCTTGTCACATTCCTGCTAGATCATCCGTTTGGATGTTGGGACTATGGAAGAATCAAACGTTGGGGCATCGCATGGCATGCATAGCACATAAAACTCGCTAAAACTGTCCCAGTTTCCTTAAGTTCTGTGGTTCGTGAATGAGGATCTCCTACTCTTTGCTAAAGCAGTCTGAGTCATTTAAGACAGTATAAAATGCTGCACTATTTTGTTAAGCTTTTGACCGAGTAAGAGATTGTTTTTTTCCTGGCGCAATATTTGGGGATTAGAATAGGGTGCGAGTTGTTGAGTAAAGAGAAGTTAATAATTCACTAGCTGTGATGGTAATTGATCACGTACTTGCCATCCCCATGGCAGGGAAGGTAGATGTTTGGAAGTCAGTCAGAGAAGAGACATAAAGTTTTGTAAGGCAGTGGTGAATAGGGTAGAGGGAAGAGTGTGTCCACTGGATGAACTAGAGGCCCCAACCTTATTTGAGATAAATAATAATGATGATGATGCAGATGAGTGAAGTGGTGTGGTTTTGACGGTGGGGCATAAGGGGGGATGACAGAAGACAATAAAGTGGTAAACCCGTTAAAATGATTGGTCTATTTTCTGCATCTGCCTTACGTCCGAACCCCACCACAACAATCCTTCTTGACTAAAGTACTCTCCTAATTTTAGTGGTTTTATCAAGGAGAAAGGGATGATTTGTTGACGCTACGTCCGTGCGATCTAACAATCCACCTACCCAAATCGCCAATGCTGTTGAAATCCAATTCCACATGCAGCGAGTAGTTGAAATAAAGTAAGTTTTTTCTTGAAATTTGGTTGCCCGCAAATAGATCGCTAATCCACTCAGTACCAGCAGAATTATCTGAAAACAGATGGATCCGTCCGTTCTAGGAGCTGGTGTCTCGTAGTCATTCCTTCCTCATTGGATGCTAATGGGCTTCCCAAGCCGAGGATCAGAGTCGCTAAATGGCCTTTAGCAAAATAATTTAGGCTCTTCTTAGGCCTACACTCAGGTTGAGACTCTAAAGTACACTTAGATAACCCACTATCCAGCCTCGAGGCACACATGCTCACGAATAATGAGTGTTAAGATAAAATTGCTTGCCTTCATGCCAATGACATATACGTGGTTTATTTATTGCTGATTACTAGTGCATTCGCCATCTAATACCGCCTCTTTCTTTGCTAAAATTTACATACCAAAGGAAAAGTAATTCTTTAGCACATCAGAGTGGTGATAGTTAGGCTTTTATAAGGCGGCAAATTGAGTTGCGTAATATGGATTTCCCGAATAGAGGAGCAAAAATTGCCATTTATTACTGCCCCCGACAAAGAAGCAAGATGATAAAAAACTGGGCTTCCCATGCGGGTGATTGAATTCGCCCTCTCAATTTCCCAAAAGGTGGAATCTAGTCTCAGGGTAGATAGACAATCGGTCACTATGCGACGTTTGCAATGGAAAGATGAACACCAATTTTGAGCTGCGAAGAGGGTTACGGTGATTAAAGAAGTGAAGATCGATCAGCCAGCTGTGATGACTACAAGAGTAGAGGTGGATCTACCTATCTTTGTGATTTCGGAGTTAGAGGCAGTATATCTTGAGGTGGTTATTTTGGGAGTCGAGGCAGAAAATCATGAAGCAGTTGTTTCAAGGGACAAGGCAGACCCTGTAGTTGTGGTTAATTCAAGAGTCGAGACAGATCTGTCAGTTGTGGTGATTGCGAAAGTCGATGCAGAATCTCTTGAAGTAGTGATTGTGGTGTTTGTAGGAGTCTAGGCAGAGTCTTAAAAAGTAGTAATTGCATGAGTCAAGCCAATTCTCTTAGGAACTGACTGCTGAAGTTGAGTCAGCTCACTTCGTCATGTCGATTACAGGGGTCAAGGTGGATCTGGTCGTGGTTGTGTTCACGGGAATCGATTTGGGTCCCCTAGCAGCAACTAATATTCCTTCTTTTTCTATCCAAAGCAAGACATTTCCTTCGTGATATTTTTTCATTACTCACACGTCACCTAATTTTATACTGTGCATTATTGGGCAGCTGTGATTATCTTGTTGGCTGTGCTCGTTTCACTGTAAGTGATTTCATGGCAGTGGATGATGAGGAGGAACATACCGAATGTTATAGTAGTGCCTAAAGGGGGTCCATTCCAGATTTGCATCGAATTAAACTGGTCACTTTCAAATTGCAGAGTAGTTTTTAACAAAACTGGTATAATAAAATGACATTCCAAGAGCGGTGTGATTACTGCCAAGAAATTACCAAGGGCATCGAGGATCTTAAATCGCCCTGGTACTGTCACTTGACTGCGTCCACAAATAGTAGCAATAAACGATTTTCCGGGCTTTAATTGGGTGAAGACATAGAGGAGACTTGAGGAGGGATGGTCGCTACTCCGCCACAGGTCGTCGACATTTGAATAAGCTACGCAATCAGTGTCAACACACACCTGGGACGTGTGTGTTGTGTGCCCACTGTTTGATAGTAGAGAATACACGAATACGAGT